TTAGAAACTATTTTTAGAAAATTTAACCTCTCTATTATTACGCCTACAGTGTTGGAATGAATTATGAGAAAGATGTTTTGCTAAATGAAGAATTTTTTTATTAAATTTAGCCGAAATTTATTTTGTCTTTGTCTCACTGCATCACAGAAAATTTTTTACTTTATCATATCACCTGATAATAGCAGAGGTAGGAAAGGGGAGAAAGAAGCTTCTCAGAATCGGGTAGATTTCCACCGTTATCATTCAAAATTAGTTGCATTGCATTTTTCCAAGATCATCTTGCTTAGAGAATCTCGAAAGAAGGAAATTATTTTGAGGCAGTTTTTTTCCGCTACGCCATAGGCACCTGAATTTACGTCCTTTTCCAATGGTCACTGTGGAAATCCACTTGAATAATCAAACTTCTGCAAATAAGATGAAACACAGTCTTAATTTCTGTCTACAACCATTACATTCTAGGTCTATCTCTTCATCTGGTTTTGGCTGTTCGGCGTTGCCATCTACAACGTTGGTAATCTCATCTATTGGTGCTGCCTGTTGCTCTCAGAGGAGAAACGAACAAACTTTGTCGGCTCCTACCTCAAACTGCTCGGTCTCGTCAATGATGAAGACATTTCCGGTTCGTCCACAATGGCCTTCTCGCATCCATCTTCTTCGTAACTCATCATTAACTCATCCGATGCCATTTTTAGGTCAACGTGCGTTGAACAAGTTCGCGCAGAGATCGTTGCGTGCCGATGGTGTGTTCATACTTTATCTCATCTCGAAGAATGCCGGCGATATTATTACCACCGACATTATCGCCACCCTATGGGGGAAATTTTTAGAGGATGAAGCTCAGGTAAGACCTTGAACTGACATAAACTCTCAAATTGTAAGCTTAGTGTCCTGACAAGATTAATTCTTAGAGCGGGTTTTTACCAAGAGTAGAACCACAATTTCTCAAATGATAACCTTCGAAGGAATATCACATTCGTTTCCCTTTGAAAGACTAATTTTTTTGCGTTAGTCACAGTGGAAACGCGCTTGATTCATGCTCGTACTAGATCTTCCATGAGAAATG